CAGTGCAGTGTAAAAGAGTCGACTCTCTTTGGATTTCCACAACTGTCATTATCGTTGAGAAAAGCAGAAAGAGGTATGCTCCGTACAGAGTGGCACGCATCATATCAGAGGTCCTGGGTAGTTAGCGTCCTTTTGATATTTTCTCCAGGTTATGCCGGTGTGTTGGGAAATGTTGTTTGTTTTGTTGTTTGCGCTCACTGGCTGTAAACCCCTTCTGCAAGAACTGAGTGTTTGTCCATTTCTGGACTTTGGCTTTGTTCCAGGCCCTGAATTTTGTGTGTGCATCCGTTTTACAGATCTAGCTTACTTGTATGCAGACTGTTGGTGCCTTGTCTCCCAGGCAGATGCACTCCGATTTTAAAGGAAGCTCCCAATTAGTCGACTCTTACGACATGATTATTGGGGAGGCAGTGGGTCTGTTCTTGGTTTACCAACAATGGGATCCAGGACCCCACACAGGGAGTTTGAAATGAATTGACATACAGTTCTCCACCACTTGGTGGTAGTTTGACGCAGGACAAGCTAAATGTTGTAATATACGTTTGAGATTGAGTAAACAGTGCAGAGTCACAAATAGATCATCATGGTGTGAAAAGAATGGGGAACCTTGGAGTCATCAGGTGATCCGGCTAATGCTCAACACTAAGTGGGAGATGTGAAATGTACATACAATCAGATTGTTACTAGTACCATCGGGGTTGGAACTATGTGCTTGCTGCTGAAGATGGAGGACACAGCGCTCATGGAAATACCCAGTGTGCTGTGATGTTGGTTCCTAACTCATAACTCATAGCCCTTAGCTGGGTAATTTCTGGGGCAAAGTTTGTGCTCCATGGTGATTCCACATGAGTGATCTGTAGAAAGCAAATGTAACACTTACAGTGGTCTGCATGCCTAATGCAAGCAGGCCTTTACAAACATCACAACTTAAACTTCACAAGCAAAGACACAAACACATATGGACATTTACATGTAAATGCATATCTGTATCAGATGTAAAGCTGGAAAGTAATGTAAGTAAATGAAGACAGTAAGTAATGTAAATAAATGAAGACAGTAAGTAATGTAAATAAATAAAGGCAGTAAGTAATGTAAATCAATGAAGATAGTGAGTAATGTAAATAAATGAAGACAGTAAGTAATGTAAATAAATGAAGACAGTAAGTAATGTAAATAAATGAAGACAGTAAGTAATGTAAATAAATAAAGGCAGTAAGTAATGTAAATCAATGATGATAGTGAGTAATGTAAATAAATGAGGACAGTAAGTAATATAAAAAATGAAGACAGTAAGTAATGTAAATAAATGAAGACAGTAAGTAATGTAAATAAATAAAGGCAGTAAGTAATGTAAATCAATGATGATAGTGAGTAATGTAAATAAATGAGGACAGTAAGTAATATAAAAAATGAAGACAGTAAGTAATGTAAATAAATTAAGACAGTAAGTAATGTAAATAAATAAAGGCAGTAAGTAATGTAAATCAATGATGATAGTGAGTAATGTAAATAAATGAGGACAGTAAGTAATATAATAAATGAAGACAGTAAGTAATGTAAATAAATTAAGACAGTAAGTAATGTAAATAAATAAAAGCAGTAAATAATGTAAATCAATGAAGATAGTGAGTAATGTAAATAAATGAGGACAGTTAGTAATATAATAAATGAAGACAGTAAGTAATGTAAATAAAGGAAGTCAGTAAGTAATGTAAATAAATAAAAGCAGTAAATAATGTAAATCAATGAAGATAGTGAGTAATGTAAATAAATGAGGACAGTAAGTAATATAAAAAATGAAGACAGTAAGTAATGTAAATAAATGAAGACAGTAAGTAATGTAAATAAATAAAGGCAGTAAGTAATGTAAATCAATGATGATAGTGAGTAATGTAAATAAATGAGGACAGTAAGTAATATAATAAATGAAGACAGTAAGTAATGTAAATAAATTAAGACAGTAAGTAATGTAAATAAATAAAAGCAGTAAATAATGTAAATCAATGAAGATAGTGAGTAATGTAAATAAATGAGGACAGTTAGTAATATAATAAATGAAGACAGTAAGTAATGTAAATAAATGAAGTCAGTAAGTAATGTAAATAAATTAAGACAGTACATAATGTAAATAAATGAGGACAGTAAAAATGTAAATAAATGAAGACAGTAAGATATGTAATTAAATAAATACAGGAAGTAATGTACATAAATGAAGACAGTAAGTAATGTAAATAAATGAAGACATTAAGTAATGTAAATGAATGAAGATAGTAAGAAATGTAAATAAATAAAGACAGTAAGAAATGTTTAAAAAAAACAGACAGTAAGTAATGTAAATAAATACAGGCAGTAAATATTGTAAATAAATGAAGACAGCAAGATATGTAAATAAATGAAGGCAGTAAGTAAGAATACTCTTATATAACTCATAAGAACTAGCAGATACCAGAAGCTCTAGGGAGAAAGCTGTGTCACTATTCAAAGCATTTAATGTTACTTTTTAACTATTCAAGTCCTACACAGAGCATGGTATGTTCTCATCCAGTTTAAATAAATAAATAAATACATAAATCTGGCTCTCCCAGTGGTAACTTTCACTGTGCATTTAGCCTAGTGATTTTTATGACAGTAGTTTTCTTAGTACTAGACACTCACCGTTTACTGATAACTATGTGCTGTATATACTTCCAACTGTAAATAGCAACATATAAGTCAAGTTTTCAAGCCACATTTTTTCCCAGAAACTAAGAGTCAACTTCTATGGTGGGTTTTAAATGTACCCCTTACCAGCACTTGAACAATCACTGTACACCACTTGTCATACCCCAGCAGGCCGCCACAGATATATCTCAGATATATATATATATATATATATGCCTTTGGTGAACATTTCTGGTTTGGCATACAAATGCCAAAATTAATATAAAATAATAAAATAGTTACAAAAATTCAGTGTTCTATTAACGCTACAGCACACATCATGACAAACAGCTGATACACCATGTGTAAACACCGACAGTTCATCTGTATCCTTACTGTTCATCGCTTGATGTAAAGGTGTCTGCACCTGGGGGTTAGCTTGTATGGTGGGTATAAGCCTAAGAAGGTTGATTTAAAATCGAAAGGTCGACTTGTACGCCAGGCTGACTTATGCAATGCATTTTACAATTATTCCTTGAATCCCATACTTCAGTCATGGTAATCTGTTCTATGCCAATTAATTTAACCGAAAATAAGAAACCACTTAACTCTTTAGGTCCCAGAGGGTTTAGCATCCCAGGCCCAAGGGGTAGTAAAGAGAGACGTAAAATCGGCGCATCTTGCGTTTACTGGAATTCTAGGTAGGAACCTATGAACGTATGATGCTCTCCTTGGGACTCAAAGAGTTAAAAAGAAGCATGTAGTAAAAAAAAGGCAACTAATTAATTAGGCACTTTCTGAAATTGGATGTGTTGGGCTCAGAGGTGCATATATCATAGCCTAGTTGTAAGCCAAACACAATGTCCCAACTTTCTCTGCCATTTTTGTAAAAGGAAATTAATGCAGACAAAGAGTAAGAAAAAGTATATTTTTGTGCAGTGGATCTATTTTCCAATGGGCAGGCTTGTACTTTGCATTTCCTCACAACACTTTTTTTTTTCAATTTTCTTTCTTTACAGATAATGTCTAATGGGACATTGTGAGTATTGCTGCGGAACACTGTTCCCATCATGACAGCTTCATGGGCACTGTGTATTGTAGCTTCACTGGTCGTCTCTTGTGTACAAGATGTCGCCATAGCCCAAACCTCTTCGGGTAAATATAAAATTATATAAGAAAACCTTTATTATCCTGCAGCAGATCCTTTGTAGAACATTGCTTACATCACAATACTATAGTTAGTACAAAGTAAACAATCAGTTTTCACATTTTCAGATGTTATTGGGTAAATTTTGCTAGTGCCATGTTTTTACAGATCAGTAAACACTTACTGAGTGATCATTTAGTGTCATTCCAGTTGCCTTTCATTCTGAACACATTTCCAGGTTAGGCTGGGTAGACCTTTGGAGCCCTTGTTGATTAAAACAAATTCCTCATTCTAGAGGAATTAAAACTTATGGCCAATAGATTAGCAGGAAAGCACTGTACATACTGTGCTACCAAGGAATCCTTTCTGTTACAAACAAGTATACCATGAACATCATCATCATCGTCATCATCATCATCATCATCATCATCATCATCATTATCATCATCATCAGTCAACAAGCCCTTTACAGAATGTCACTCTTGTTACAGCACACCTGAAGGTCTCTCTTTCCCAAGCCAGTTTTTCAGCCCTATTGCTTTCATAGCCAGCGCATCTTTAGTGTCTTTTATCCACTTTTGCTGAGGTCTGCCTCTGCATCATTTTCTGGAAACTTTACCCTCCATCATTTTTCTGTCTAGGCCGCTATGACATTTAAAAACAATGATAGCCTGTTCTATATATTGTGATGCATCTTGATCAGATGAAAACTGTTAACTGATTAGAAAAATAGGGCATCTATCACTGTGGATTCATAAGGCATTCACAAGTGATTTTCTTTGCTGCTCATCTGCTGCTTTTCTGCATTATGGTACCCCTTATGATTTTAAATTCATACATTTCCCTTTCTACTGTCCTGCAGGTTTTCCGATTCATCCATGTCTGCATTTTCCATCTGTCATCTATTAGAGAGCATGTTATTAAGGCCCTTTTTGAACTGTTAAGATGACTCCTGTATGTTGCTGAGAAACTCTACCTGACCAAATTAGGCTGTCACTTGTCCAGCATGTGTCTTTAGTTTACATATAGATATACCTCACAAAGAACTTGCTCCAAAAGAAAAGACAGAGGGTAGAAAAAAGACGATAACAATGATTGTGATGATGTTAATGATATATAAAGATTAGTTATTTAATTTTTTATTTTATGTATGGTAAAAACTTGTGTGCACTTATTCATTCTGCTTCTAAATGTCACATTAAAATAGATTTAGAACATTTTTAATGTTAATTTTTGTAATTTTAATTTCCTTTATCGCACAGGAATCTGCAACCCACAATGTGGCTTTCTTGCCGTCTGCCAGAATGCAACATGTACATGTTCAGAAGCAAATTATGTCTTACATAACAATGGCAGAGACTGTAGAAATGGTGATTATATTCTTCTAGTTATGTGAATGGTGATAATTACAAACTGGAAATTTATGAAATAAAACTCTTCTTCTGTTCTTATGTATATCTGTGACAAATAAAATGTGATTTTATTATGTCATTTAGTCTACCACTTGAATCTAAATCATCACTTAATGTGTTAGTTATTTTTCTTTTTGAAACTGTGTAGTTCCAGATTCACAGGGACCTCTAAAACTGTACTCACAATTAAATTAATGAATGAGTCAAGAATTATTATCATGCTCTCAGACATTCCCACACATGCTCTGTCTCTTTCCTCAGTAGACAACAAAGTGTTCCCATGCTGGTGGTGCCTGTTGCAGCCTAATTAATAGTCCAAGTATCTTTTATCTCTGCACGTTAAAAATCTTCACAATCCTCTGTTCACTCCTCACTGAAATAATCAGCTTCTCAGGCATAGATACTCTCTTCTGTTTCAATACTCATGTAACCCCTGAGAGCCTTCACGATGTCCACTTAATCATAAGAGTGACAGCAGCCAGTCTATCAGTCTGCTCATTACCCTCATCATCATCATTGTGTGCCCTGCCAGCTTGCGCAGGCGCTCATGCTTCTCCACAGATCACGATCCATGGTTGCCTGAAACAGCTTTCTTGGTGATATCCACTCCATGCCATCATTTCAGCCCATCCAGCATCATCTCTCTGGTCTGCCTCTACCCCTTTTTCCACTGATCTTTCCAGTTGTCACGATGTTCTCCAATGTCTCTCTTCTCATTACGTTGCCAAAGAACAGTGTTTGTCTTTTTCTTATTGTTGAATATAGAGATTCATTACCCTGCAACACCTGAATATCCTGGGCAGAAAATCTATGAGCTGAGCTGTATTATCAAGCTATGAAAGTCACTCAGTGCATAGATACCAGTGGCTGAGCTGTTTATCAAGCTATGAAAGTCACTCAGTGCATAGATACCAGTTGCTGAGCTGTATTATCAAGCTATGAAAGTCACTCAGTGCATAGATACCAGTGGCTGAGCTGTTTATCAAGCTATGAAAGTCACTCAGTGCATAGATACCAGTTGCTGAGCTGTATTATCAAGCTATGAAAGTCACTCAGTGCATAGATACCAGTTGCTGAGCTGTATTATCAAGCTATGAATGTCACTCAGTGCATAGATACCAGTTGCTGAGCTGTATTATCAAGCTATGAAAGTCACTCAGTGCATAGATACCAGTGGCTGAGCTGTTTATCAAGCTATGCAAGTCACTCAGTGCATAGATACCAGTGGCTGAGCTTTATTATCAAGCTATGAAAGTCACTCAGTGCATAGATACCACTTGCTGAGCTGTATTATCAAGCTATGAATGTCACTCAGTGCATAGATACCACTTGCTGAGCTGTATTATCAAGCTATGAAAGTCACTCAGTGCATAGATACCAGTGGCTGAGCTGTATTATCAAGCTATGAAAGTCACTCAGTGCATAGATACCAGTGGCTGAGCTGTTTATCAAGCTATGCAAGTCACTCAGTGCATAGATACCAGTGGCTGAGCTGAAGTATCAAGCTATAAAAGTCACTCAGTGCATAGATACCAGCTGCTGAGCTGAATTATCAAGCTATGAAAGTCACTCAGTGCCTAGATACCAGTGGCTGGGAACTAAATTACACAAGCTTCATACTAAAATCATAACCTGCAGAGCATAAGACTTTACCATTTCACCACAGAAGCCATCCTGATTACATCTGCTGATTGCCTGCTAGCCCAAGAGCCAAGAGTTTGAATCCACATATAGGTGGCCTTTAGAAATGCCCAGGGTCCCCCATACTGACCCAGCCTAGAATGGATGCTAGGAAATATTCTGGTGAAGTAAAGGTGACTGTCATGATGTTGAGTACATCACCCATTGAGTGTCGGTTGGCCTATAAAAGTATAACACCTTATACCTTGAAAACCGACAAATCCCCATTCTCATGAGGGACGCATTTTTCGTTGTTTTGAGGACCCACCCTGGCTGTTGCTGGGAGACCTAATATTACCTAGCAGTTGAACACGATTTTTTGGACCTCTCCATAGGTGATCCTCATCTGAGTGGTAGCACTTTATGTCACCAGGTGTTTGTCGCACAGTGGGGTAAAAAGTCAGTCAGACATTATACCTAATGTGTCAGTGGTGGAGAAGCCCTTTCATATATAATTAATTTATTCATGATCCTATTGTGCCATTATGGGTGACATATGGCTCGCAGTCTGTTTCTACATTTCAGTCTATCCTGTGCAGTCACGCTGATATCATGGATGGAATCCCTTCTAGCGCCTTTGGCTTCTCTGATCAACATTCACATTAGGGTTTCTCTTGAATGTCCTTTTTTCCTGAATTCATCTATTTCCCATTTTAGTGCCTGTTTAGTAATATTCCTAATATGTGTCTATTAGAGCATCATCATCTCTGTCTTATAACTATTGATAATAGTTTTTACTTAACATTTCTTTTATTTCTTCACTGCTCTTGAATTCGTGCCATTTTCTGTTAATCCTTTCCTTTTTAATTATTGTCCTTTTGCTTTTGAATGCAGTTAACTGTCATTGGCACACGTTAGAACTGAATATATACACACATTTTGTATATCAGTGGGTTCTATGTTTGTTAAGTTTGCCATCCTATTGTGGCCGATTTATCGGTCAGACACAAAATAGCCACATACAAAAAGACGAATGGGCCAATCCGTTGGCTCTATATAATTCAAGGCTTGAGATTGGCTAACAGGTTTTTGTACCACCCAATCAGATTACTTTCTTGCACATGTGGGCTGTTCAGTGACGGCTTTGGAGAAAGTTTGATGTGTTCTGTGATTTTACATCAATTTTTTTTTGTCGGGTTACCTGTGCCCAACAATGGCAAAAAGGACGCTTGCGTCATAGCAACCAAAACATAACTGGAGGCAGGAAAAGGAGTAGAATCATGCACCAGAAGTGTCTAAAGGGCCTCCATGGCTCTAATTTCCCAAACACAAGTGTTAGGACTTATTCAGGCTTCATAAATGAAAAAAAAATCACCCAAAGTTTTCAGGTTAATCATGTTTGTTTTCAAGTGAAAAAAAAAAATACTTGCATAAATTATGCAAATCAGAATAGTAAATTTGAAAAAGTATTGAAATTTCAGTTTGTTTCATAAATATTCGGCTAGCTCATTCAATTTAATACAAGAATATATATAGTTTTGTCTATGTTAATTAAACACTTTATTTTGTATAATTTTTATGTGTGTAAACTAAGACAATCCCTTCCTTGAGGCTTTGTATTTTTGGCATTGAAACTTCAAAAAAGCTCTATCTCCAAAGGGTTAAGAGTACACATATACACATTCTTGCATTAGCATTCAGTCTATGGCAGATGTAGAAGCGAAGATGCGCTGGATAATTCTAATTCATACAAGAAGAACTTTAGAACTTTTTTAGGAACAATTCTTGTAGATTGCTGATATACAGTAGTTCAGTATAGATAGAAACTCACAAACTATTGCATTTTTCTGAGTTAGTACATTGAAGGCAGTAACATACACACTATCATACTTTTCTGAGTCAATAAAATGTCAATAGCGATTTACAGTACATTCTTTCATGCCTTTCTGAGGTAGTACAGTATAGTCCAGGGCTATTCAACTGGCAACCAGTTGGCCAAATCCAGCCCCCCCCCTCCCCCCACCTTTTTCAAAGAAAAGCCTAGAAAGTGGCCTGCAGATCATTGCTTTTTAGGATCTTTCTACACTCTGGGGCTCTGACCTATGGCCTGTGATGATCCCCATTATAAGCATTTTGGCTCATGAGTCAACTTAGCTGAATAGCCCTGATGTGGGTAATGACCTACATACTCTCATACTTTTCCAAATGTAGATAGTGACAGTAGATGCTATTATGCTATGCTTTTCTGATGTAGTACAGTGTAGGTAACAATTTACAGTACATATTATTATATGTTTATGAAGTAATAAAATATGGATATGACGTAAGTACATTCTACTTTAATTTTCTAAGATAGAACAATGTAGAAAATGATATACATACTATCATAATTTTCTGAGGTAGTACATTGTAGACATTGACGTAATAAATTTGCCAGCCTGATTCTTTTTTATATATATTTGTACTTTTCTCAGTTTCATGCAGCATTGATGATTGTCTTCAGTGTGATAATACAAACACATGCATTCGGTAAGTCATTCAGAATGTTGCAGCTGCATGTTAGGTCATCTAGCAGACAATATGATCTGTAATTTCAAAATCTGAAAAGGCAAGCCACAAAGTTGTCCTTTCAATTTCCAAAATATGATTACAATCAATGTTTTTCTCTAAGTTCATTAAACTCATAATTTCCTTGTCTGGGTTCCCGATTTTAGGACATAAAATATAGACCCACTGCCTCCATAACAAGCACATCATAAAAGTTGAATAATTAGAAACGTTTTCTTCATGGTTAAAGCACATCTGCCTGAAAAGTGAGGAACCAAAGGTCTGCTTATAAAATAAGCCAAATCTGTCAAACAGATTTGCATGCAAAACTTCTGGAAAAAGACTATAAAGTCTAGAAGTGGACGAACAACTACAACTTTTCACTGACATTTACAGCCAGCGAAGAAGAAGAAGAAGGAGGAGAAGAAGAAGAAGAAGAAGAAGAAGAAGAAAAAGAAAAATAATATTAAGAAGAGAGAGAATAATAATAATAACAACAATGAAATGTCTATGTGACTGACTTGAAGCAGCAGTCAGTCAAACTTTCTACGCCCCTTTGCCAGGCCTTTGTCAGGTTTTAAACGACCCCAATTGCCAACACCCTTAGTAAAACATCCAGTGTCAACGCACACCAGGTCAAATTGAATCTACCAATTTAAATGTAGCTGTGAAGCTACTTATGTGGGCAGAACTGATCGACAACTGGAGAAATGAGTCACTGAGCATATTTCCGTATGGGTGGAAAAAGCAATCATCATCATGAAGCAGGTCCTTTGCAGAACGTCACTCTCATCACAGTCTGTCTGAAAGAAACTCGGTCTCTCGCCAGTTCTCCCGCCTCATGCACTTTCACACTCAAGGAGTTACTTATATCCTGTGCCCATCTTCATGTCGGTCGGCCCCTGCCACTCCTTCCTGGTACCATGCCTTCTGCTGTAATTTTTCCAATCCGTCGTGGCACTTGATATGACTAAGAAATTTCAATTTTCGAGAAAGGATGCTGTTTATTAGCCGATCTTCCTTGATGTTCAGATCTTTTACGATGTCAATATTTCTCATCTTCTCTGTCCAAGATATTCTGAGAATCTTTCTATAGCCTTTCAGCTCAAAAGCCCCTATTCTCTTTCTTAAGGACTGAGAGATAGTCCACGACTCACATCCGTATGTAGCCACAGGGAAGATGCATGCTCTCAAAATTCTAATTGTTATCTCCTTGCTGGTGCTTAACAATAGAATTTTAAGACTGTTCAATCTTTGCATTGCTATTGCCATCCTCCTTTTAATTGTTGTCGAACTGTTTCCATTGTTGTTTATTATAGAGCCTAGATATTCAAAGTTTGTGACATTTTCAATTTCTTCATCATTTATTGTGGAAAAAGCAATGCAGAGTTAAAATCAAAATGAGAATACCGTTCGTAAAAACCATCCTTCTGCAATAGCTTGCAATCGTTTAAAATCTGGACACACTGTATTCAAGAACAACGCATTTCACATCCTTCACACATAAGAAAATGGTAAAAAACTAATATTGCTTGAAGCTGCTGCGATTTGTTACGTCCACCCTTAACTCTGTAAACAAAAAGTTATGATTCTGACACTGCGGCTGCCTTGGTAAAACAGGCAGTTGCGTTCGATTGTTGTTAAATTTGTACTTCAGTTATGAAGATTCACTAATTTGCTGCATTTATTTTTTACTGTAGTGTGCACCCAAAGAGATACAATGAAATATTCTTCCTCTTCTTCAGCATTCCGAGCCCTTGAGGTTCATTGCTGCAGATATCACCCTCCTTCATTCATCTCTCTGGTTGGCCTTCTCTTTCCAGTTGGTGACACCAAGTGTTTTCAGGTCTGTCTGGATATTATCTCTCCATCATCTTCTTAGTCTGCCTCGTGGTCTATGACCATTCAGCTCCCTTGTGTATACAGTTTTTACTTCTCTGTCATCTGAAATTCTTTCAATATGCCCCAGCCATTTCAGTCTATTAGCTCTCATGATGCCAGTTATCAGTGGTGATTTAAACAGATTATGAATTTCATTGTTGCTTCTCACTCTCCATTCACTGCTGTTTGCATCTTTGATGGGTCCAAAGATTCGTCGTAAGACTCTGTTTTTGAAAACCTACAGCGAAATATGCCAGGATATAAATTATGCAGTCTATTGTTTGTGTCTTCTTTATTCAAATTTGCAACAAGGAAACATTGTTTTGATAAAAATAATCTTTTTACTGAAAGAGTCTTTTATTCAGTCTTTGAAGAACAAATCAGAGCTTTTGAACTGAAATACTACAGACTAAATTCTTAGAACAACATAAACCAAGAAGAAGGAAAACATGAACATCCTACATGATTTGAACATTGAGGAGAATTGGCTCATAATCAGCATCATCTATTAAAAGCTAAGGTATTTTGGCAAAATCATGGTGGCCTGGAGAGAACGGTGATAGGGTGTACAGTTTGAAAATAAGGCAGAGATCAGCCATGAAGGTGGATACAAGAGATTGGAAATGCATTGGGTGTGAAAGCACATAGGACTGGGGGAACTGGCTTGAGAAAGAGAGACTTTCAGATGTGCCTTGACAAGATCAATATTCTGTAAAGGACCTGAAAGAGTTAAGGTAGCTTCATTATAGCGAGTCTGATTACAAATTCTGCTATTATGTTTTGATTTTCAGATGTGAAGCCTTTTTGTCTGCATCTGGTGGACAATGTATACAGAAATGTAAAGGTTCAGCTGAATTAAAGGGTGACATCTTGACATGTTCGGGTGAGAATTTGCAGCACTTATTAATGTATATTAGGAAAGTGAGGATCTGCATAGCAAAATGGTCAAGACATATGCCTTGTGCTTTAAAGGTCATGGGTTCATTTAGGAAAATGCATCAGTCGGGTAATAAGTGCAGTTTTCACAGAGATTCCTGGAGATCATTGCTGGAGCAGCATAGTTTGTGCTTAATGTGACACTCTACACAGATGGCAAGCTGTTCTTCAGAAATAGACATAGTCAATGCAGTGAATCTGACCCTCTCAACTTTAAACTTTTAGCACAGTGTCAAATGGGTTTTTCTTCCTGTGTGGATTCAGAGACCTTATTTGGGAGGTATTAGAGTGGAAGGGAGGCTAGTAAGAATACACCCACTGCCCCCCCTCCCCCCCCCTTTTTTCCCCAGAAAGCATGTTGTAAGAGTTGATTAATTAGGGATGTTTCCTTTAAAGTCAGAGTGCATCTGCCTCAGAGGTGAGGGACCAACAATCTGCACACAAATAAGTCAGATCTGTAAAAACGACTATGCACACAAAACTCTGGTTCTGGAAGAAAACCGTTTGATTGATCCCTATCATTGCATGCAGACATCTACGTAAGTGCTCCAGTCTCCTTCTGTAGATCACACAAAGGAGAATCTCAACACAGCCTATGAACTCTGTGGCACCAGCAAGGATCCAGATTTTTGTAAACAGTAATGATAAATGCTATATTCTTTTTCCAGTGTGTTGTAGCTTTTAAATTAATTTGAAAATTTTACCTGGCAGTTGGCCAACACTGCCTACTTTTTTAAAATTTTATTATTTCCAGCTGCTGATTGACTATTTAACCCTGCTGTTTGGTGCAGAAACCTGAGCAAGCTATTAGAATATTGTATTGAGTCTTTGCAAATGTAGATATAGAAGGATAACTTGAATTTCATGGAAACAAAACAGTTATACAGAGGCACTGACAAGACTAGGAATGAAAAGCTACGAGAAAAAAACAAAGGGGCGAGTAAAATTTTTCAGTTATATTAAAAGACATAATAACACTCTTATAAAAAACCATATTGGAGGGAAAAGTTAAAGGCAAGTGAGCAAGAGGCAGCAATGATACAAGTAGGAGGTTAACATCAAGAAATGGACAGACATCAGGGCAAAAGTCAAAGAGCATTGGAGATCCATAGCAGCAAACCATCATTGCAGAGATGGCACCTGGATGCTTGATTGATTCAATTACTTGTTTTATTTTTTTTCTGTGTTCATCTGAAGATGTAATTGCGCTGTACACATTTACAGCATGGCTGTGATATTTATACCTTTTGGCCAACACATTCCACTTTTGCTGGCATTTGTTGACTGGGTTAGCCTTCCTGGCATTATAGGTACAAATTGCACAGGAATCCTATAAGTTTTTTTTCCCCTTCCTGATAATCTTTGATGTCCAGTTCACTACCAGGAAATGGTGCTTACCATTTTTATTTTGTACAGATTCAAACAGGGTAACATTATGAGACACACTAGGTCTGCTCAAGTCTGAGCCAGATACCATACATTCTTATCTACTCTACCCCACTATGTCAAAAAAAGGATAACAAGTAAAGAGAAGGACTCTTTTTTTTAAACTCTTTTAGTGCCAAGAAACACATCATACTTTCATAGGTTCCTACCTAGAAACCCAATGAACGCATGATGCGCCGATTTTATGACTCTCTTAACTACCCCCTGGGCCTGTGATTCTAAACCCCCTGGGACTCAAAGAGTTTAGCCAGTGACACATTGAGCACATGATGGTACAGGACATATTTGTGCATAGAGCAGCTGGCACTTGGTGGGTGATGTGTTCAGTATTATTAGAGCCGCCTTTTACTTCCTAAAACATTACCTGGTACCCATTTTATGTCGGGTCAGCCTAGGAACCAAGATCAGTTCTGAAAATATTTGACTCAATGAGGATTGAAACTGGAAACCTTTGGGCCAGCAGGCCAATGGATGTTACTACGCTACCATGGCCTTCCAAAATGATGTCAGCTATGAGCATAAGCTGAGCACAGAATGGAAGAATATAACAGTTGAACTCCAGTGGTTACAAATGTTACTATTTTCTTGTACTTATTAGGGTGAGTATGACTGTGATAAATTTACTGCAGAATGGGTAAATATATCATTTATCAGAATCCCCAGATGCTATAAAAGGTCAAGAAATAGTATAAACTTCACTGTCTTTGTAATTCACTTAGTGGCCGGTAAAGTTGGCCAGAAGTTTTGCCAGGAAATGTTGAATTAGGAACAGTATTGGAGGACATGTTGTCGCATGTGCCAGTCCACATGTGTACATGGCTGATTCACCAGTTTTAAATTTTATTTATGTGTGGCTGTGAAGTCTACTGTGGCCTGTTCTAAGGCATAGAATAATGACTTGCTCTGGTCTGTCCATAATATGGCAATCTATGGTTCCAAAAATGATATAAAGTAGAAATAAATCATTTTTCTGAATGCAGAAATGTAAAGTGTTAAGAAATCATTTGTTAGAATCCAAAAATGACATAAAGTATCATGAACTCTTTGTCAGAATCAAAAGATGATATAAAGTATCATGAACTCTTTGTCAGAATCCAAAGATGATGGTGTGGATATTGTTGTTGCTGTTGTGTCAGGCATTGCTGCTGGAGCTGTTGTTTGCATTATTGTCATCATCGCTGTATGCATCTACATTCGTAAGACAAGGTATGAATCATTTCCTAATCCATTATGTGATGAAGTTTACAGCAACTAATCATTGTATGACAAAATGTTTTGTATATCTTCACGTGACTAAGTGTTTTTTATGTCTTGGTATGACACAAAAAGGCAACATTCTAAAAAAAAAAAAATTTAAAGAAATCTTTAACTTCTATTTTGTCTAATATGTGTTGTGTTCCAGTTAATCGGTGATGAGCATTTAAAATTGTCTCTAAAGTGTTCATCTTTTTATAATTTGGTACCCGCTTGTGCTTGGAAGAAATAACAGTCAAAGCCAAAAAATTCTGGACACCTCAAAATTGTGCTTTTACTGGAAAAATGAATTTTTTGGGATGGCCACACACGTGCCCACTCTACCTGCAACTTCAAAAAGACACCTGGCCTCAAGAGCAAAGTGTGCAGAGCAAGCTTAGGGGGAACCATGCAGGACCTGCAGCTGACATGCTAGTTCATAGAGGCAACCCACCTGATGGTCTGGTCTAAATGTTCCTCAACTCTTTCAGGGCCAAGGAGAATACCATACATTCATAGGTTCCTACCTAGAAACCCAATGAACGCAAAATGCACCAACCTTACATCTCTCTTTACTATCCCTTTGGCCTCTGATGCTAAACACCCAGAATTGAAAGATTTGAAGATTTCAAATACTAAATTTATTATCATTTTGTTTTTCCAGAAGAAATGTCAATCTACAGAGCAAAAATTATGACAACAGACAAATAGAGAGTGGACATTTGAAGCAGGTGAGTGTAACAGTGAACTTTTTATATTTTTTGTTTCAATGTAATTTTATAATATCTAATGTGTTTAACATCTCTTCCATTGCCAGTCCCAAGAAGGAGTGAGAAAGAAGGAGGGTTTGACATGAGGCTAGTTTCCCCACCCTGTAAAAATAACTTTGCTACAGAAAAGTCACAGGAAAGACAAACACTGATATCAACAGTCATTTATAAAAACAAAAAGAAAATGGTGCCCCATCTGGCACGTCCTGAAAGAAGCGAGCAGAAAATCACTAAACATGCATTGAAGTGAAATGGGAAACAAACTGAGGAAATGAAGATGTTCAAGAGAAACCATAAAATGTAAATACAGGAGAGAGCTCAAAGATGCTGGTCTAGATGCAATCAAAGATATCAAATAAAGATTGAACAGAATAGAATGGAATGGAGAATTAGACTTGAGGTCTGTGCAACAGATAATGGTTTGACAGGATGATTATATATGTCTTTAACCAGCAACTGATATAAAAAGGTCCTATACTTATTTACTTTGCAAAATAAAAAATAAAAAGAATAAAAAGCTGTGAATTGTTTTCTGCCTTTGCATTTTGGCCTTGTTTTTGAGAATATTTTAACTTGATGTTTTCGTTTAATGGTTTAAAAAAAAATGTGCCTGACCTGCCAGGTAAATCCAGCCTACAAGAGACATCAGAACAATTTTTTGCAAGTAAAGTCGGCTGGTTGATTTGATCATATTGCCCAACAAGTACCAGTTGATACATAAACATATGGACTAGCATTGTATTGTGGATGGCAGAGAAGCAGCAGACTGGCAGCAATGGAGATCTCTTGTGAACGTGTTAAAATTGACATGAAGATGACAAAAGATTCATGGTATTCCAGATACACCTCACATGTGAACATGGACTTTTACTTCACTTATTTGCTAACCCTATGTTTTGTAGACTGAATGGCATTCAAAAAGTTATGTGGCTTATTTATCACACCATCTACCTTTACTTGCTAGTAAATTATCTGCTACTTATCTTGTGCTGGGTCCATTTAGAATCCTAGTAAAAAAACAAAAACAAGTAGTCTCCACCTTGAAAGGAATTGAAACAAGAATCACCGAGTCGGCAGACACATGTTTTAGCCATTGTACTTCTGTTGGAGTCTGTGGCTTAGGGTCTGCGAACACACTTCTTAATGCCGGGTTCAATCCCAGCTGCAGGAAGTTTGGAAGCAGAATGTCTTGTGTTGATTTCGACGAAGGAACTGAGAGCTGACCATTCAGGGAGTAATGGCAAACTACCAAACGTACAAATTGCCTAGAAAAAGAACAGCCTAAACATGCTGGGGTTGGTTCTCCTGTAGTGGATATGCAACTAACTTTTAACTTCTGCAGCTTCTGAAACAATTCTGTAATTGTATATTCTTTCTTTTCTAATTTCCCTAGTCAATTGTGTTATTTTATATTCTTGATTCTTAATTTCCCTAGTCCCTATTTTGCCTTTCAACATAAGATTCTGAAGATGCATTTAGTGCTAGTTTTTGTATGTGTGTGCTAAGTGGATGGTGGAATTCATGGCTTCAGTTATTCTGTCTGTCCATTGCTTGTGTGGGCAGCCTATATATAGCTCTGCTTCTGTGGTGTGTCTTAGTGACCTGGCTCTCTGTGGTGTACTCTCCTGTTGCAGTCTTGATACGTATGTGAACTATTTGATTTGTTGTATCTAATTGTTATTTTGTGTTATGTTACTGTCTATCAATATAAGTTAATCTGTACTTTATATCTCTCTCAACACCTGAAGCGGTAAAAGAGAAAGCAAAGAAGGAGAAGAAGAAGAAGAAGAAGAAAAAGAAGAAGAAGAAGAAAAGAAGATGTATAACAAGAAGAAGTAGACAAAAAGTATAAGAAGAAGAAGTAGACAAAGAAGAATAATAGGAAGAAGAAGACCAGTTAATAGATAGTGGTAATTATGGGGTGTTTTAGGTAAGTCAGAAAATTTTAGGTATCGATTAATGATTATCTTCTTTATTGTTTGATCTTTCAGTTCCCAGCATATGACAATAAAGCTTATGGTGAGTTAAAACATTGTTTTCAGATTTCAGTAAGTACCTGATTAGGCTTCAGAAATGTAAATGAGCTATTTAACTCTTCATATTATGGACACATGTTACCTTCATTTGTTAAAAATATTTGAGAATTAATATTTATAAGGAATTTATTTAGGGCATGTACACTTTTAGACCATACTGGTGTTACTTTTTGTGTGTGGAATAATGCAGTCTGGAAGAGAGAGAGAGAGAGAGAGAGAGAGAGAGAGAGAGAGAGAGAGAGAGAGAGAGAGAGAGAGAGAGAGAGAGAGAGAGAGAGAGAGAGAGAGAGAGAGAGAGAGAGAGAGAGAGATTATGCTACACAGTCAACACATGGTCTCTACAATAATGCCTTTGCTGTATGCAGTAGAGAAGAGAAACTTCATCCATGGCCTTACTTGGTCTTACCAAAGTCAATTATTACTTCTGGCCTAAAATGGAGGATTAAGCATGGCAGAATAACTTCAAAGTTATTTTTCTTCAGACAGCGCTTTGCTAAATCAGTTTCCACCTATGGATGGTAGTCTGTGGTTTCTCTGCCTGAACAGCTGAGTTTAGTGCTTGGTGTAACCCTATGAGCTGTGTTTTTTCTCTGGAATGCTTTCAATTTGTGCCACAGTTGTGTTATGGTAATCAAAATGGCTGGTAGCCGGTTTACGTGTGAGCTGGTGAAATACTTTATGTAACAATTATACATATGTATAGCCAACCTATCATGCCTGACTGCTTCCATCAATGACAAACTGTATTTCTGGTGGTGACTATTGGTGTTGGCACCTCTAGCAGCTGAAATATGCATTTACTGCATGCACATATTTTCTAGATTTTTTTCGGGACTAGTTATTTGTTCACCAGTTTTTTAAATGCAGCAGTGAGAGACACAGAAACAGAGCAAGTATGGGGAAACCCAATTGCAGTGACGTTGAAACTAAGACAAAACCTGGTCTGGGAATCATACTCACCATCATCATGAGGTTGTGATTCCTATGCCTCCCTGTAGTGCAATATAACAGTACTGTGTGGAAAGTTGGAAAGGCTCTCTCTCAGCCAACCAATACTTACAGAGTATTTAGGCTCCCAGGCTTAACCAGCCTAAAGAAGGTGCCAGAAAATGTCCTTGCAAGGCAAGAAAGCAAGCTTGATACTAAGCAGATCACATTCTATCAATTGGTATTTAAACATGCAGGACTAGCAGCATATGAACAGTGTACCCAAAGACATAAAAAAATGTCCTTTTTTTATGTATAAAGAATAATTTACTTACTTATGTATACCTACCAATAAACAAAACAAAAGTGCATATCCTTTACAGGATATTTCAAACCATTGTCAGCTTGTTTGGCTGTTTGCGGTTTTTACTTAGCAAGAGTAATTTATATATGCATGTATATTAACATGGAAATCCCTGACCAAGTCTTTAAGTTCTCCCTACTAGTCAACAGAATGAACAATAATGTGCCCTGCAAGAATTATAATACCAGATCTGCTTATATGGCAATGGTAAAATACTGATTTATTTATTTATGTACTAAATGTACACACAACAACCAGGGGCTGTTGGGGTTGGTTCTGCAATGTCCTGTTAAGGATATGCAACTGACCTAACCTAACTAAATGTACACTTATAGAAAATTTTTTTTGGGTTACATAAGCTTATTGTTATAATCCATTGGTTGGTTTAGTTCTTCGGGCAAACATTTTTATTAACATTCTGTGCAGACAAATGTATTATACATATCCTTACCTGCAGAGAAGTGGAGGTTACACCAACCTGATGAAACCATTAATTGTGCCTCATTATAACTTTTTTGGGGGTCTAATGGGGTGTCTGAAAAACTGTCCTCTTGGTTTGCCACCCAGGATGAGATGCTTCGAGTCAGGGGGTGATCGGACCTTTAGGCAGCAACCCAGAGAGGCAAAAGAGCAGACAGACAGAGACAGATGTATGACTGTGAACTGACAGTAACTAGGACAGAAACAGTTTACATTTTGTAACACAGCTGGCAGTTCATTTCACATAAATAGGTACCTGGGATAGACAGAGATCTTATTCTTCGTCTTCACCGGCTGTAAACTCTGGCAGAAAGTTCCGGTTGTTCGTCCACTTCTGAAATCTAGTACTGAGAAACTGAGTATTGTGTGCACATCTATTTCACAAATCTGACTCATTTGCATGCAGACTACTGGTTCCTTGCAACTCAGGCAGATGTACTCAGACTTCAAAGGAAGCTCTCACTTCGCTGACTCTTATGCTTTTGGGCAGGCAGTGTGTCTATTCTTGTTTTCCCCACAATGGGGCCCAGAACCTACACAGAGAATAGACAGACATAAAGGATTATAAATTATCTTTTGGAGGGTCAGTATTATTGTTTAACTATTATTAACCCTCAGAAACAGATAATCAAACCACGTATGGACCAGTAAAGATAGACCCATTAGAATATGCAAATAATTTGGACAAGCTCCGCCCACATTCAGAGACACTGATGGAATTGTTGAGTCAAGTCAGAAGTAAGACACGAGCGATGGATGCATCCGATGAAAGAGTTCCAACATACAAGTAAGTGATCACAACAAAATAACTTTTGTTGAATTATAAAACAGTTTTTGTTCACTAATTGACAGTATCTCTTCTTTTACTTTGGAAGTAATAATTCACATTGGTTTGAATTGATTTTAATAGCTGCCATAACATCCAACAAAATATTATCACGTAGATAAAGAACCGAATATTATAGGCCAAAACTGTATTTTATATAATGAAGAAGCCCGGCTTGCTAGCTTAGTTGGCTAAACCGGGCTGCGCGGTGACCGGGTGACGAACTCCTTGTGGTCCGGGTTCACTCCCAGGGGTAGACAGAAAAGCCACATTTCTCCTAGATTTACGGTATTTATCATGGAATCAAGGCCAAAAGGTTGCGATATCCATAATACCGAGCCTAAGGGTTAACAACTCATGGCTTCTGGATACTAAAAAAAAAAAAAATTTAATGAAGAACATTTTATACAACAAATCCATGTCACTGGAGGTTAGAAAAAGAAGTCTTGCCTGTTGTATAGAGCCAGTTTTACCATATGGCTGTGAATCCTGGACAGTTAATAAAGCCAAACAATTTCTTGAGGCCTCAGAAATGTGGCTTTACAGAAGAATTCTCAGAATTCCTTGAACAGCCAAAAAGAGCAACTCAGATGTTTTGAAAAAGGCAAAGGCTCAAAGACAACTTATAATCATTAAAAACAAAACAAAAAGACCATCACATTTTTAGGTTATGCTATAAGCATATTGAAACAGGAACATGTTGTGACCACTAGAAAGATCTGAGGGTAAAGAGACACAGGAAGACAATGCAAGAATGATTCTTGGCACCCTTTTGTCATGGCTTTGAGGGGTGTCAACACAGGAACTGATAGATGCTGTTGAAGATTGCAGATTGTGGAGAGGCATGATCACCCATGCAGGTCGGCAAGGCACTTGATGATGATTATGAAGAGGGCACCCACAAACACATTGGGTGACCATAAACCTAGAAGCTAGTGTAAACCTTAGTCAGACAGTATTCACCGCTCGAGGTGAGGTACTTTACTTCTCTCTTCTCCACCTTCTTGAAGCCCTGCTTGTAAACTTCACCATTTTGTTCCGAAGCAACTAATGCAGTAGCTAGCATGCTTGCTTGAGAGCCCAGTGGTTTTGTGTTGAAATCACCATTGAGCCACAACATGAAATGAGATGGCTGGATTACCTTCCCTGACAGTTACCAGACAGTGAGGTCTTCTTGTGGTTCTGGACCAGTGGAAATTCCCTTTGAGGGTAGAAGGCATCAGCCTGAGTGGCGAGGATGCACAGGGTTCATACATGTAAGCCAAGTCTGTAAAAACAGATGTGTATGCAAAATTAAAGTCTAAAATCCAGAAGTGGATGAACAACCAGAACTTTACACCAGAGTTTACAGCTGGTGAATGCTAAGAATAAGAAGAATGTCCGGAGCCTCAGTAATGCAGTAGTTAGATGCCTGCCTGACAGCCCAGTAGAATTGCTTTGAATCTTCATTGTGCTACTCCTTTTTTAAACCCAAGGAAAACCTGACTCCCTTGGTTGTTGGACATTTATGAGTACTAATATCATAAACAGATAGAAAAACCAAACAAAAAGCAGAATTAGCGTCACATTCTCACAATCACAGATGACAAAAGAATGTTGCAGCTAGAAAGCTTTCATCAGCTCATTACTTGAATTGACAATGTTGTAGTTATGAGCAAGAATACACAAAATGGCTTAACTGAGGTCTCTCCAGGAGAAATCCACATGTCTGTCTGGCTGGTTAAAGCTCTGTCACATGAGTGATCACATGAAATGAGTACTGGCCAGAAAAATAGTGACGGGCAAGGGCTGTAACTCTGACAAGTAAGATAGATCTGTGTACTAAACACTATGTTACTAAGGTTTTTTGAAAATTCAGTTGTCAATAAAAGTATTAAAGGCAGGAGGAACTATACCTGACTCAGTAGAGTCAGTAGCCGCTGATAGTTTTGCACTCTGCATCTCTAGTGATTACTCCGATGATATTGGAAGAAATCTGCACCTATGAACTTCATAATGCACTGTAAAAAATGAAGACATGACCTATAGACCATGTGGCAAATGACTGTGGCACATTGTAAGTAAGTAAAGGACCCTTTTCTACACCTTTAGGCGTATAGGGCATATAGGGTTAGACCTATATTTTATAGACCAACGGCACAAGATGGGTTATGTGGTCAACATCACGCCAGCTGCCTCTGCTTCCGGGACTGCACCCGGTACCCACTCAAGGCTGGGTCGACCTGGGAGCCAAGGTTATTTTCGAAGAAAAGTCCGGCTCCGCCAGGGAGCGAACCCACGACCTTCCCATCCGGGGTGCATGTTTAGCCGCTCTGCCAGGGTGACTCCCAGAGCACATTGACCTAACTATAAATGTTTAATCTATCTATGACAGAGGTGTCATCCACCAATTATGTAGAGTGCTGGTGTTGATACATAAACGCGATCCTGTGGTTAGTATCCCCTCTGATGCCTTAGGGCTCATTCAGTGGGCACACCAAATGCTGGAGGATCATAAGGAGCAGCAGGTTTGTTGACACGTTAAAGTAACCTTATGCCTTTCTTCTTCTTCTTAGCTTTCACTGGCTGTAAACTCTGGCAGAAAGTTCTGGTTGTTCATCCATTTCTGGACTTGAGTCTAGTTCCGGAACTTGAGTATTGCGTGCAAATTTGTTTACATATCTGGCTTATTTGATACAAACTGTTGCTTCTTCACGTCTCAGTCAAAGGAAACACCCATAATTAGCCACCTCTGCCACATGCTTTTTAATTGTAGTGGGTCTATCCCGACTGCAGGCTTTGGTATCCTTTTTTTAGTTTACTGGATTTGGAAAATCAAAACAATGTTTTCTTATTTGTTGCCTGACATATTTCGCGGTATCTCGTCAGGTACATACTACAGTAACACTACTACTGATTCTGTGTTTGATCAGTAAATGATTTATTTCTATCCTTTATTTGATTCAACTGTTACTGTAGTATGCACCTGATGAAATAAGCAAAATATGCTAGATAAAAAAAACTGTACAATCTGTTGTTTGTGTCTTCTTGGTTCAAGCACGTATTTATTGCTACTGACTGACCAGGAGAAAAAATGTAAGCAAAATATGAATATAAGAGAACATTCTTGAGGATAGACATTGAAAGCTACTGATACCATTAACATACTGCGGATCTTTTTGTGGAGCAATCCTTCTATCACAGCCAACCATAAAACCTCTTGGTCACTATGCCAACTCCCCTATGTTGCGATGGTTCTCTTTTGTGCATGTCAAAAGTAGGATGACCATCTTTAATCTGTCATTATGATGTCACTGTGTTTGTATGCACGCACAATTATGTCACAAGCTTGACACTCTTGACATCTTTAACAACAATATTGACAGGTTACAAGACAATGACATGGTTATTGCACAATTTCTGTCGCACTTGTAAGGTTTTCATTTGAAGCCCGCTCATGTTTTCATGCACAAGGTGCCCCCTAAATCCTTTGCCCCCCTTCATGGTGGTTGAACCCATTCTTTTCTTCCAGAGACTGCCTTTTATTACTGTTCTTTATAAGCTGCCGCTGAATTCTTTCAGTCCCAGATGTTGGTTACTTCAGCACTGTCTTTTCCAAAGTTGACATACATTAGAATAAAAATGGTTGAGTCTTAGACTATTTAACTAACACTGCTGTCGAATAGAAGGAGTTAAAGTAACTGTCGGAATAGAATGGATTATGTTTATATAAGATCTGGTCAAAATAGACTAAGAAATGTATGCTACGTATTTAGTAACCTATAAAGGTATGGTACATTTCCTTGTTGGTACTGTCTGCCACAGCGAGCCACACTAAAATGTTACAACGGGTATAGAGTGAGTGGAAAACCTCAGAAAAGATCGAATGATGGCATAAAGAACAGCCTTACAGAAATGAACATCAGTCTTAATAGTGCTCTTGACAGAGCTCATCAATGAATGTTACCTTTCCCCCCCCCCCCCCCCCCCCCCCCGACACTTCACAAGGTGGAAGAGAAGAAGAAGAAGAAAAAGAAAAAAGAAAAAGAAGCATTTCCTTGTGCTGAAATATCTTGTCCTGTGGAATCCTGCTGAGATTAAGGGTGGAATCCAGTCTGTCTCTGGTCTCTCTCAGCAGTGTTTATCTTGGGGTTTCTCTTGAATAGAATCCAGCCTGACTCTCTCTGGTCTCTCTCAGCAGTGTTTATCTTGGGTTTTTTTTGGGGTTTCTCTTGAACAGAACCCAGTCTGACTGCCTCTGGTCTCTCTCAGCAGTGTTTATCTTGGCGTTTCTCTTGAACAGAATCCAGTGTGACTCCCTCTGGTCTCTCCCAGCAGTGTTTATCTTGGGTTTTTTTTGGGGTTTCTCTTGAACAGAACCCAGTCTGACTCCCTCTGGTCTCTCTTAGCAGTGTTTATCTTGGCGTTTCTCTTGAATAGAATCCAGTCTGACTCCCTCTCGTCTCTCTCAGCAGTGTTTATTTAGGCGTTTCTCTTGAACAGAATCCGTTCTGACTGCCTCTGGTCTCTCTCAGCAGTGTTTATCTTGGCGTTTCTCTTGGATGTCCTTATTTCCTCAATTCATTTGTTTCTCATTTATTAATATTTATTATTTATTTATATTATTTAATATGATCACATTATTCTAACTTTAAAGACATGATGCTGTGCTTGGGAAAGTTTTCTTTGTGGTTCAAAGTTGCCCTAAATATTAATATGCAGTAAGTCTTGTGACTTTTATAGTGCGTACTAACAGAATAAGTGTATTACAGTTCTTGATCGGGAAGGCAGATCATACACATTTGGGTGTTTAATACCAACAAATTTTCCATAATCAGCTTGCTACAGAAAATAAAAACTTTTCTTATGGAAGGCAACACTTAACATTTATCGAATTATATGGGTACTGACAAATTCTTACCTGCCATAGTGATGGATAAAAGTGCCGAGCAGCCGACAGATTTGAATAACTGGTAACCACTTTAGCTGTGCTGGGTAGATGGTGCCACTCTAGACAAGTGGCTAGGATAAAACAACCCAGTATGTGTGCTTCCATCACATATGGATACTACAGTTTGAGTCTATGTGCAAAGAAGATTATGCCAGTTCATGAGACAGAAGGCTATGGACAGATGTGATAACCAATATCACACACATGGACTGTAAGGAGAAGTCACAGCATCATAGACAGCAGGAAGGGATCAAGCAACAATTGTTATCATGATTTTTGTAATTAGCTGAGTTCAAAGAATAATGTACTTTTTAAAATTATTTAATACCTGTGGACAGGCAAGTGTCTAGCTACTATGCCACCACAACTCTTTGTTAATTATTTAAAAGATGTGAAACATGTTAATGTGAAATATACATTTTGTTTCAGAATTCATCAAATGGAGATTTACCAGATTTTCCTTTGGCCCAGATTTCATGTGTGGATTTAGATTTTGACAACCCCGGCCACCCAGTCTATGCAACTCCTGAAAGGAGTCAGCTACATGACTCGTCAGCATCATCTGTACAGGGCATGGCAACACCATACAGCACTGTTCCTATACCAGTTTTAGAGAGTGATCAGCAGCACCATCATTATGGCACCGGAAAGAGACCAGGATTTGCTACAATTAGTCGGGCCAGAGCTAAACCTAACAGTGACTTCATCAGGGCACTCGAAGCTGAGTTAAACAGCACTGATTCTGTATCGGTGTCCAAAGAACCTGTGGCAGCTTCACAGCAGCCAAACAGTGGATTCAGGCGAGAAGACTTTCAAAACTTTCTTATACACAGTGCAGAGAAATCGGATCTCAGAAATGCCTTCAACCATTCCACAGAAAGAAGTCAACAGACATCTAGTAGACCCCTCATCATTAAAAAACAAAGCAGTGAGCTGAATCTAAATTCTGAGTTGAAAGAAAAACTTAAAAACAGAATCAATAAACCTGAAGCTAAGAGCCACTTGATACTTAGTGCTCAAAAGCTTCAGTCTAATCAAGCTAAAGAAGACCTTACGATTGGAAGTCAGCAGTCAGCAAAAAAGAACATTATCACAAACCCAAACCTTGTTAAGAAATCCAATTCTCAGTCAAGCAAACATTCAAAGTATGCCACACCAAATTATGGCTACTTTGCAAATGGACATTACTATGACCCAAATCCAATGCCACATTTGGAGGCTGAAGTTTATGCACCTGGTAGTAGTTATAGTGGTCACAGCAATGCCATGTCCACTTTCCTTGGAGATTTACCAAGGTCTCGGTCAGCCTCAAGCAGTGATCAGTCAGAAGATAGGTAAGTATATGACCTAAATATAAAACTGGCCAATATGTCTATATCACATTTTAATGTCTTAATTATCCTTACTAAACATATCACTGTATGAAGTACTGAAGTATCAATAGTAAAGATATAACTGTCATAAATATTCATATCACCTCTTTGAGTCCCAAGGAACGCATCATACGTTCATAGGTTTCTACTTAGAATCCCAATAAACGCATGATGCGTCGATTTTATTACTTTCTTTACTACCCCCTGGGCCTGTGATGCTAAACCCCCTGGGACTCAAAGAGTTAAACATTTCACTGTGTAAAGTATCAAAACTAAACATTTCACTTGTGAAATATCTATAATAAACATTTCACTGTGTGAAGTATCCATACTAAACATTTTTCTGCATGAATTATCCATACTAAACATTTCAATGTGTGAAGTATCAATACTAAACATTTCATTGTGTGAAGTATCAATAATAAACATTTCACTGTGTAAAGTATCAATACTAAACATTTTACTGTGTGACATATCCATACTAAACATTTCAATGTGTGAAGTATCAATACTAAACATTTCACTGTGTAAAGTATCAATACTAAACATTTCAATGTGTGAGATACTAAACATTTCACTGTGTGAAATATCCATACTAAACATTTTACTGCATGAATTATCAATACTAAACATTTCAATGTGTGAAGTATCAATACTAAACATTTCACTGTGTGAAGTATCCATACTAAACATTTCAATGTGTGAAGTATCAATACTAAACATTTCACTGCATGAAGTATCCATACTAAACATTTCACTGTGTGAAATATCCATAATAAACATTTAACTGTGTGAAGTATCCATACTAAACATTTCACTGTGTGAAGTATCTACAGTAAACATTTTACTGCATGAATTATCCATACTAAACATTTCATTGTGTAAAGTTTCAAAACTAAACATTTCATTGTGTAAAGTTTCAAAACTAAACATTTCACTGTGCATAGTACCCATACTAAACATTTAATGGTGTAAAGTATCCATACTAAACATTTTAATGCATGAATTATCCATACTGAACATTTTACTGTGTGAAGTATCCATACTGAACATATTACTGTCTAAAGTACCCATTCTAAACATCATTGTCCGAAGTATACATAATAAATATGTTAGCAAACTGCTATCATATTTATCATAATTTTGTTTCATATTGTTCTTATTTACTCACTTAACAAATAGTTATATATATATACATATATATATATATATATATATATATATATATATATATATATATATATATATATATATATATATATATATATATATATATATATATATATATATATATATATATATATATATATATATATAATTATGCATTTATATGTGTGTGTGTGTGTAAGTGTGTGTGCATGCGTGCGTGTGTGTGCGTGCACGCACATGTGGGTGGGTAGGTGTAGGTGTAGTAACAGCATTAAGGACATTAATAAATAATGTATCAAAACTACATACCAATGGGTCATGAGTGATGTTCATTTTTTAACAGTATTAATTGCCATATAAATGCTTACAATCGCATGAAAACATTGTTTCGTAATATTCTGTTCCTTTCTTTTATTTTTTATTCAGGGACGATGACTCTGAAAACAGTGGGGGTGATCTGGATGTATTCCCTTTTGATCCTGAAGACTGTACAGAACCTGTGGAGGTTTAACTGGCTTTTGTCTGTCTCCTAAATATTTATATCAATTTGATCTGGTGGCGTGTCAGTGTATGCAGAGACTTCTAAAATATTAAGATGTTAACATGACTGTGAATGCTAGCATGATTACATGTTCTCAGAGTAAAGCCTGGTGAAGCATGTCAGCCCTGTCTTTGAGGTCAAGATAAGAAACACTGTCACCAACTTCTCACGGGAGCAACCAGCAGAGGTATGTTGGCCTGGCTACTGCATTGATGGACTGAACATGCATCAGAATGATTAATGGGCAGTGACATTGATTTTGATAATATAACATGATGTTAAATGGAATTTCAAGTGCAGTGGCAAATTACAACCTACTGATTGTGATATTCATTACATGGAAGGTAAGGGGAAACACACTGTGTGTTATGGGAACCTTTATGGACATTAAAGAATCACTGATCACTGCATTTTAAAATAGACTGTTGTAAAAGGTGACTAAGGGTAGGGTGGGGACTGCAGTTAGCTGTCTCATTCCATTAAAAGAATAAATTATAATCAGGAAAACTAACCATTATGAATAAATCAAATAGAGACACCTTGTCACATCCTCTCCAGAAAGTGGAATTACTTTGCCTTGTTAAACATCATGATGTCCTGGAGACAACAGTGATGGAGTGTACAGTTTCTGGAAAATGAGTCATACCTACATGAAGACGGATACAAGATATTGAAGACATTGGCTATGAAAGCACATAGGGCTGGATAGTTGGCTAGAGAAAGAGAGACTTTAGGTGTGTCATCAAGAGAGTGATGTTCTTAAAAGGACTTACTTCCTGATGATGATGCCCAAGTTGTTTGATGGCCTGTGCTCCATTAGAAGTAAAGGCTAGAGAAAGACCCTTGTAAAATCAAACAAAAATATATATATTGCTATGCAGCCACAATGCAATATTTATGGCTTAAGTTTTTTCTTTCTTTTGTCTATTTTCTGCTTTGTGCCGTTAGGCATTGTAGGTGAAGATATGATTGGTTTCTGAGTTAGGGCCCACTCAATGGCCCTGTATGCTGTGATGTTGTGGAGTCTCTCAAGATATCAGTGACTCTTTCAGTCCATGTTCTTCTTGGTTATACCCTACCTCTTGGTGTTTCTTCTTTCATATTGTATGCTTTAATTACTGGTATCATTGGATTAATTCCCATTAAATGGACAAACCATTTAATTTTAGGCATTGTTCCAATAGTTTCTTTGTGTTTCACGTGATTTTATGGTTGAGTAACATTTGAAAACTTTTATGCCAGTTGAAGTTTGAACAAGGGATCAACATCATGGCACACGGGTAGTAACCCATAAGTGCTCCGTTCTACTTTTAACCCAAGTCTGAGTCTGAAGTAGCTCTGCGCAGTGCACCGGCTCCATAGCACCGACGAGGATCCTGAAATATTTGGTGTAGATTTTTAACCAAAAATATTGCCCAGGCTGTGCCGCTAGGCTACTCTTTTCGATTTCCAACTGCCAAGAGATTTTTTACGTGGGCAACAATACACACGGGCGTCCAATCTCACTAGCCAGAGACCAGGGGGTGCAGCCCCCTTATGTCAGTTGAAAATGAAACAAAAAGGATATGCCACCTGAAATATCCTGCAGCAGGCAATATTTTATCTATGCATCATCCCCCACACCGCAGACTCTGTAAATATTGTGTTACATGTCATTACACAGGCAAAGTGTGACTGATCTGCCTTGTAATTTTCAACTATATTCTTCTTTTGAGCTGACCTGGTCAAGCCCAGTTTCCACATTTTTGCTGAATGTAAATATATATATATATATATATGAATCATAACTTTTCAAATCATCTTTTTCATCTCATGCTATTCTATATTCAATACTTACATGATCAAGTGGCTTAATCTGTTCTCAAAGTGCCTTATTATCTGCAACAACAATCAGTACTAGTGCTATAATTTTTTTTGTGCTAACATCTTTTCTATGAAACTGTATAGACTGTCTCATTTTACTTGTCACATATGTTTTAGCCTATTTTTTTATATATATATATGAGTTTAGTTTAGTTGAGTTGAGTCAAGAATTGACATCACAGCATATGTATGTGTGTGTGTGTGTGTGTGTGTGTGTGTGTGTGTGTGTGTGTGTGTGTGTATATATATATTTATATATATATATTTATATATATGTAAAATTCTGTTGTCCTCCATTTTGTATTACATTACCTTACCTGCTTTTTATAGTCCAAGTCATTTGACATTAGTGGTCAATGTAGCATCTACAACCTTTGGTCACATGGACTCCTAGCTATTTCTGACACATATGTTCTTTTATGCCAGTCTTTCCTATTTGGTGGTCAGTAGATGGTGATCAGAGGGTGGTGATCAGTGGGTGGTGATCAGTGGGTGGTGGACAGTGATCAGTGGATGGTGGTCAGTGGGTGGTGATCAGTGGACAGTGATCAGTGGACAGTGATCAGCAACCCCAGAACAAATTTGAGGGATCTCTTATATCATTTACACCCCCCCCCCCCCACACACACCTTAACTTAAGAATGCAATCCTTTTTGTTATTCTTCTTCTTCTTCTTTACGTCCTCTTTTACCACCTCGGGTGTCGAGGGAAATATAAGGTCCTGCCTCATGCTCTTCGAACATAGACACATCGTGGTGTTGTAGAGTTTCTATTGTTTTATCTTCCCATCTTGTTCTTGGTCTACCTTTTGCTCTACGTCCCTCTCCTCTTTTGTTATTCTAATATTTATAAATTATAATATAAAATAAATGCTAGCAGTGCTTAAAGCTTATACATGTAGTCTTTATCAGTTTAAGAAAAACAGTATTTGTCAAAGGCGCATAACAACAAAGATGTCTTTCAAACTGATTACTTGCCAGCTGGGGAAATTATTGTTTCTTCTTCTACTTTTTGCGTTCATGTATGTGCATGCCTGCATGCGTATGTGTGATGACATGGAAATTGCCTTAAAATGTAGCTAACATTGAGTTTTATTTCTGTGACAGAATAGGCCAGAATTCTTCACATGAGGTTTCATAATCAGTTACCCAGTAGAATCTCTGTATTAATGAAAGTCTTCCAAAAATATATATGGATACATTTTTATGATACGGCCATATGAACTATCAGGACAAATGAATACATTAAGACAACCAAAAGAAGAATTGCTTAAGATTTATGAGAATACAATAATGAGTATTGAAATGAATGTTGCAGCTAGAAATTAATTCATTCACTATCCTTACCCTCAGAGAACTGCTGGTCACATTAGAGTGGTGTAGACTTTTTGGATGCCTCAGTTATAACTTCTTTTGAAGGTGAACAGGGTATCTGAGATTTTGCTGTGTTGAATTGCCATCAAGTTTGTTTGTTTTAGTATCCAGAAGCCATGAGTTGTTAACACTTAGGCTCGGTATTATGGATATCGCAACCTTTTAGCCTTGATTTCATTGTAAATACTGTAAATGTGGGAGAAATGTGGCTTTTCTGCCTACCCCCGGGAGTGAACCCGGACCACAAGAAGTTTATCACCCGTTCACCGCGCAATCGGGTTTAGCCAACTACGCTAGAGAGCCGGGCAACTGCCATCAAGAAGGAGAAAAACACAGACATCCTGCAGGATCTGAACATCAAAGAAAATTGGCTCATAAACAGCATCCCAAAAGATGAGGTATTTTGACCATGTTAAACATCATGGTGACCTGGAGAGAGCAGTGATAAAGGGTACAGTTGCTGGAAAATGACCTAGAGGCAGACCTAGACGGATCCACAACATTAAAGGTACATTAGCTCTGAAAGCACACAGAGTTAGGGAATCAGCTAGAGAAAGAGAGACTTCCAGGCATGTTTTGATGAGAGCTGTGTTCTGTAAAGGACCTGCTGAGTGATGATGAGACTTGCTATCCAGATGGAGATTTTATACTCAGAGTGCTCAAACTTTCCAATAACAGCTTGGGTGGGAAAAATGAAAGGAAGAAAGTCTTTGACAGCATCAAAGTAGTCACACAGTGATTGCCATTTTAAGGGCGAAGGCAGAAGAGAAGATTTCCTATGATTGGGATGAGAACACAGATCTGATTTAGACGCATGTAATCATGTGAGATGGCAAATCAACATTACCCATGGTTATCAGCATGGCTTGAGATGATAGTATCTGAAATATCTATATATATATATATATAAATAGGGAGCTCCTATGGCATAGTGGCTTAACGGATTGAAGATCATGGGTATAGGTCCTAATGGAGCAAGACTTTTTTTTCTTCAAAAATGACCTTGGCTCCTAGGTCAACCCAGCTTTGAGTGGGTATCAGGTATAGTCCTGGGAAATAAAGGTAGCCAGCCTATGGTTGGCCACACCACCCACTAGGAGCTGTTTGATCTATAAAACAAATTTCTAGTCCTACATACCATTACACCTGAAGCCATGGAAAAGGTCCTTTACTTATATATATATATATATATATATATATATATATATATATATATATATATATATATATATATATATATATATATATATATATATATATATATTTACATGCATTCATACATACACACACACATACATACACATACACATACACACACATCATGATCATTATAAATATAATTATGTCCCTTAGACTTATTGCAGTTACTATGGTTTAATATGGTTAGAAATATAGCTGTAATTCAAGCACATTCCTGTGCTTGTATTTAATATTTAGCTGCAGTTGATAATGTGTACTATTACTTGTTAACAGAGGAATGAAAGGAGGGGGATTAGAAGGGCAAAATCTTAGACAGGTCTTCGTGCCCATTTCTTAACCATCCTTACAGGTCTGAAAATAAAGTTTGTTTGTTTGTGTGTTTATTCATTCTTCATCATTATCCTCATCATGTGCCTTGCTGACTGGCACAAGTGTTCAAGCATCTCTACATTTTGCAGTCTCTGGTAGAATGTTGTCAGCTGACATGCTCAACTGTCCATATCATTATAAAAGGATGTTGAGAAAAATGTTCTC